AACTTTGCGAAAGGTTGCGCGTTTCCTTGTCTCACAGAGTAAAGGAGGCGTCGATTTCGAGCTTCACGGTCCCTATCAACGAAGTGCCGGTCGAATTCGTCGAGAAGTGAACTTGAGTAAAATTCTTTAGCTTTAACTTGTTTCTCAAAGAAAGGCCCCACTCGGCTTCTGTGCTCCGCTGGTAACGTCTGCATAAGTGCAAGGCAGACGCCTCTTTCACCACCAAAACCCTTGATGATTGCTGGGCCCTCCGCTGCTACTCGCCACATGACTGAGCATAAAGAATATTGATCAGGTGTTCCATCCCAAGTTGTGAACTTGTGCTGTACTGCGTCGGTTTGGTTTGTCATTGTGGCTTTAATATTTCTGGTTTCGTGTTTAGTTGTTGCGATTTTTGATTCAGGCGTCTGTGGCTCTGGTTCCAGGGCAGGTCTGTGAGACTCTGTATTTGCACTTGAGGCGTCGATTTCTATCGCAGAAATTTCACGGAGAATACCTTCAAGGTTAAAATTGTCGTCACTACTCATATAATTGCGAGACGTCGCTGATTACAAGTGGTTTAGACTAAAATGGAGATTACAATCAATGTGATAGCATGAGGGTCAGGAAAGACTCTGACTAAAAGGCAAAACAATAATATGATTGTAATCTATGAGGAGAGAAAGACATGGTGGCTAACGCAATACTATATACACATAAAAGTGGTTCCTCACTGGTCCAAGCGTACATTGTAGCACGTGATTAGTGTCCTATGACATACATCAGACGTATGTCTATACACCAACGCCCACCAAGATGTATTCGTGGTTATGCATGTAGATGATTTCCAGGTGATGGGTCCTAACTTAGGCAAGATAGAAACACTGATGCAAGCTTTACACAAGAGATATAAGATAAAATCGGTGAGCACAGACTTGTTTTTAGGCATCCATATCAGTTACCCCAGAAAAGATACCCTAGCATTATCACAGGGTCAATACACACGCACACTGATAGATCGACACGGCTTAAAAGACTGCAAACCTGCTTCAACACCCCTTGAGCATCTAATGCTTCCAAGCGATAAAGAAAGCACACTAGAAGAGATTACAAGATACAACTCCATTATAGGTGGCCTGCAGTTTCTCGCGAATAGCACTAGACCCGATATCGCATTTTCTGTCAACCACTTGGCGCGATTTTTGACAAACCCCTCAGGTGAACATCTGCATACAGCTCACCGGGTGCTAAGGTATCTCTCTAAAGAGCCGGATCGAGGAATCACCTTCAACAGATCAATAGGTAAACCCTCACTTAAAGCTTACACGGACGCAGATTTTGCAGCAGATCCATCAACAAGCAGATCAACTTCCGGATCGCTGATTATACTAACTTCGGGACCAATAAGTTGGCGATCCCATCTTCAGCGGGAAGTTGTTTTGTCTACAACTGAGGCTGAGTATCTTGCTGCCACCGAAACATGTCGTCAGCTACAGTGGACAAAATCGCTTCTGGAAGAGTTAAACATTACTGATCACATTGAGGGAGCAAAATGCACCAAGTTGTACGTGGACAATCAATCGGCAATTTCCCTTATCAAAAATCACGACAATCACAGAAGATCAAAGCATATGTCACAGATCAACTATAGAAAGCAGGGAGCATTTGTATGGATGATGGTATATTAACAATTCAACTATGTAGAACTAAGCTACAGATACTTAGCCAGGTATTTATACAGATTACTACACTCCAAGCCCTTCCATCTAAGGTCAGTTCATTTCTAGATAATTCCAGTTGCAACTCTGAGAATATGGTTTCTAGTAGCTTCTCCAAGTCTCAGTTACAGTCTTGTTCATGTCGAATCTTATCTAGTACCTTCGACAGTGGTTCTGGTATGTTCTGCAAGGCTATTGCGCCGGCCCACCCCCTGGTGGTTATACGCCAGTACTTGCCATTACTGGCTACAGGAAAATACCGGCTTCTTAGCCGTTACAGCATATCTCACTTAGGAACTTCTATTGTCGGGAGCAGCATCAAAAGAGATTGATTGATGTGTCCTACGTGCCTTCTTCTGATCAACTAGCTGACTCACTGACCAAGGTTAAATCATCAGTCGCTATTCAATAACTTAAGGAGTCGTTACCGACAGAGGGAGTGTTGTGCCTAGACCCACATAGCTACAGTGCACAGCTCCAGTCATGATGGTCACGCGACTGCATGCATTTGCTCTGTTTGCTCCTGCTTCGTTGAGTTAGTATAATTAGTAAGCAATAGTCTAGGGACTATAAGTAGAGAGCTTTCCTCCACCATAGATAGAGTAAGCAATACAGTCTTTCCTCATTGTACAGAGATCATTCTCCACTCCTCTTATTGACCTATCCGGCCCAGCAGCACATCTGTGATCACTAGCAGCGAACTCCCATAAATTGTATGTACACCCGAATCATAGACCTATCATAACACTAAGCCTTAGCCCGGAGTCCAATATTAACGTGAGACTCTTTGTTTTTGAATAATTTAATGTGCATGCAGCTTTCCAGCCATGACACATTGTATCTGCACATGATAGGAAAAGTTGAAGATGACATATGCAATTTTTTTTCAAAACAAAGGCAGACTGTGCAACCTTTATTGTTACATTGTCCAAAATTTAAAAACCAAAGAAACAGATGTTTTAAGGGCATAGAACCAAGAACCTTACCTATATTATTTCGAACAAGAAGAGGAAAAGAAGCACTTCTTAAATATTTGGACACATCCAAGTACATGGTGGCACATAAAAGGAGTTAAACTAGGATAACTAAATTGGGAATTTAAAAATTATTATGAAGATTGTATTTCAGAAAGGAGTTTTGGGGAATTAAATTATATAAATAATGTGTCATAGCTAGATAGCTGAATACACTATGAAAAAAATGAAAAAAAAGCCATGACATATTGTCAGCAAATTTGAAGGTCTCAGATGACTGTTTTGGCCTCAAAGACGCTCATATTGTAGATTTCATCCTCAAATTCCACTTTGATGTATGTCTGTTTACACTAAACAAAAGATCCTCGTCTGCGAAAGCCCACCAGAGAAAGTTTCAAAGTATTCGGCTGTCCAGGAACGTACTTGTAGAATTCATGAGGCTTTGTAAGAAATATAGCTTGCTTGAAAAATATGACTGAAGTGGTTGGGAGTCTTCATGAAGTCGACTCTGGGGAAATAATTCATCTTCAGGTTCGTAGGACATGCAGCTGATAGATGGTAGAGTCGGAGCCCTACTCATCACACACCCTTGATCATGGAGGAGAAGCCATCCGATGAGTTTCCGGAGCGTACCCAGCACCCGATACGGAGATGGCGGATTGGATGAAGGCGGCCTCGAATGTTACAAAGAAGGGAGACGTCGAGGGGTATGCTCACCCCCCGTAGCTGTGGTTACAGGTTTTTGGGACTTTTTCCCGCGCACGCAGTTTCCATTGCTACCATGCTATTTTATTATTCTCTTGGTGTAGAAGATTCCGTGGAAAAGGTGGCCGAATTTCACGGTTAAACAATGAGCTGAATGGCTATTCATCACGAGCAACATATCAATGGTCTTACAAGTAACAAAAGAGGATATGAGCACTGTACACGGTATGAACTGGGCCAGAGAGGAACCCAATGTGCTAGATAGTATAAGACTCAAGTAGTACAATAAACACACACACACTTGAGAGAGCAGCTCAGATAGCTACCACTGCACCATGCAGCCATGAATGTAACCTATCATAGAAAAGGTCTGCCTACCATAGGGGTAACATGACTGCCGATGACCTCCACACCCCACATAACAGCCTGTAAAGCCAAGATTGATCCATCTCCCTCAAATTTACGCTTTCGATAATGTCCACAACGATCGCATCGAGAATGACGCTAGCCAAGAGGAGGGATCATGCAGTACCAAAGGCTACAACAGTAAGTGGAGAAGTTGTCTTCAGATCCAAGAATACATTCACCATGCAAGCAGGTGAATAGATACTTTTGTTACCAGGTAAGCAGCATTTCAATGACCAACCATATTAGGCGCGTTGACTGTCACGGTACAACGGTTACTAGACAACCACGCTTTCACATCGAATTTTGCACACTGGGCCGGATACTTCACTATGATTGCTTCAGGTCGAGACTTTCTGGAGTCTCTTTCACAGCCCTCGCTTGGTCCTGTTGCACGAATCAAGGGAGAAGGTAGGAGAAAACCCTTGTCTGCGGCTGGTTAGTCTTTTCAGACGCTATACATGATGGCTCAGTCTCCGGATAAAGTCCTGGTTTCGGTATCAAGGGAATCCAGGCTTCAGACGTCTAGTCACTTTTTCTAGAAGTAAGACACCGACAAATAGCCATGCCTGGCTTCGCTGGAGAGGAGAGACCATGACGGCTTAACGGCCTACTTAGAGTGTTGATTGGAATGCAGATCTGTGGGAAAATTGCAGCTGCACAGAGGCCGGGGGGACAAAGAAAGGAGTATGCAGCCCAAGACATAGATGCCCGCGGCCTGCAGATAGAGATGACCTTCAGTCAAAGATGTTCGTCGACTTTGTTCTACAGTTAATCACCATCACTGCCTGCGCGCATTTAAAATTGTCCAGTCTTTAGACCGTACAAGTGCTGACGGTGCCTGCTCTTCTCCCGTGGTCCTCTTGTTCGCAGAGGGAGGGAGCTTTAAGTAACGTGTAGAAGGAGTTGTGGGTAAGGCCTAGTCTGATTGGCAAAGATGTCGACCTCAATGAGACCTCTGGTTCGGGGGGTGTCGAGCTGGCTTGTCTTGTCGCATACCGTGTGGCATATACAGACATCGACAAGCTCCCTCGCCCCCAAGCCCTACCCCTGTGGCTCCTACTATATAGCAATCTCGCACTTATCCTTCAGGAAGCCTGACTAATCAGTGTGGCATCGGCGTATTCCAATCACATCATCTTGGTCAACTACAATTCCTACGCGCCTCCTTGGTCTGTTCCAGCTGGGCATCTGTTGGTGGGACATTGCCCATCCAAACATGATCCCATCCCATACAGCGAGGGCTTTCCGTCATGGTTTTACAGGCATCTCAGCCCTTTCCCCAGACTTCACTTTTCGTCTCGCACTATCGACGCGAGCATATCACGAGGCAGCTGGGCCATCGACTCCCGCTCCCTGTCCCTCGTTGCGACTGCGAGTGGAGCCTAGTGTCATCGCGACGAACCGGCCTGGCCAAGACGTGCTAGCCCCATTTGTGAGGGCCAGGCGAGATGGTGACGGGCGGATATTCGAGCCTGCCATGATGCGACCAGATCTCTTCCATCGCAACGAGAAATCGCCCGCTCGCGGCTACACCGTCTTTACCCTATTCATCCGGCCTCTAGCCGGTCTGATCATATCGATCGCCTCCCTCGTATCCATACGCCATTTGTGACCATATTTGTGACCATGCTCGGCTTGGTGACGCCGAAGCAGTCAGAAGCCATCGCGCCTTATGCTTACGCAGATTTTGTCCTTCCCTACGTTGATGCTCGCTACTCATCGCGCTCGGACACTTTCTTCATCCAACACCTGACGGAGATAGGGGCTGCTTTGCTCATTCAATTGGTGCAGGGCGCTATCGCTGCATCTTCTATCTAAGGTTCTTTCGCGCGTGGACAGAAAGCGACGGATGGGATCAGGCTCCCGCTTATTGCTTCAGTGGCAAATATTGACGTCTTGAACCTGAGTTCCCCTCGGCTACGCTCAGCTAAATCAAGCCGGCGAGAAAATTCTCGCGCTAGGAAGCCCCGGGTCAAAGCGTCAGGCCATACCAAGCAGCTGTCGCCTTGTGTTAAGTGGGCCTCTGCCGGTATCTACAAACTCCAAAGAGGCACCAATCACAAGCTCATACCCTTGGCAAGAAGCTGGTGCCGAATGTGTCCGCGACCCGCAATCACAGTACACCCAATTCATCAATGTGATGCATACCAAAGTGCTAAATGATTTTAATATTTCGATGTTTGGTCCCAAATCTCTCTTGCTCAGTATGTTCAAGCGTGTCTCACGGGGCTTCAGTCGCAAGCTTCATTGTTGAATGGATTGCCATCATTATCCCAAGAATCTTGCTAGATATCTCAGCTAGCCTTGGGGTGGAACTTGATTAAGATGTGATTTATTTGCCCTGCGATAAAAGTGGATATTACGCCTTGCTTTTTTTATCCTCTCCTAATCGAGGCCGGGAAAATACTAATGTACGCAAAGCCTCCATTCCCTCAGTCACAGGTACATAGTTACTACCATATCACAACACAAAATATAATCACGGCAATAAAACAAAACAAACCCATCACCCTCCCCTACGCTTCCACTTTTGGTTGAACATTCGTCATCCCATTAACAACATGCCCATTAACGCCAGAAGGCGATGTTGACTTGCTGTCCATCGGCCCAGATCCCGATCCTACCAAGATGTTGCTATTCTTCTTGTCTTCATCCCCATCATCGTCGTAATCTTCATCTACATCCATCTTTCGTTTAGCTCGCTCGGGCTCGCTCATCAACGGAAGTGATGTCGGCGGCACTGTTACATGTTCATGCCGTTCCCTTTCATCCATGACGTAATCTTTTTGCGTAGGTGGAGGCGGTAGTGGCGGCGGTGGCGGCAGGATATCATGAACTGGCGTATGTGAGGTCGGTAGACCTTGCTGCATTGGTGGTAAATGGCTATTAGGAGCCATAGGTGGATGGTGTGCGGCCTCGGACGGATGGTAGTTTTCGTTGGCTCGCCGCTGGTCTTCCATACGTCTTTGGTCTTCACGTCGCTGCTCATCCATTCGGCGTTGTTCTTCCAAGTGGCGTTGATCTTCGGCCCGACGAACTTCGGATGAAGCACGGCGAAACGATTGGTCTCTCGGCGGTGTTGAGGGGCGCCGATGATGTGAGTCCATCAACCGTGTTCGATTCTCATCCGAAGCAGGCTTCTTCATGGTTTGTTGCTCGTCTTCCCATTCCCGCAAGCGCTTCGGACCGACAGAAGCGGGGCGAGGATCACCATTACGTTCTGGGGCAAGTGACTCATTGTGTGGATTTGACACGCCATTATCCATACCCCCTGTGTTCATTTCCCCGTGATGGGCGTACGAAGATTGCTGGTGGGTATACACTGGCTTCGGCGAAGACAAGCGATTGTCATGAAGAGAACGCATTTCCATCCGCGGACTGTTTTGACGCCCGAACGAAGGTAGCGATATTGCGGGTCCTGAGCCATTCATACCGTTTGGAGTAGGGTGCAGAGCATTCGTAGCGCCTGGACCTGCGTAGTTTGGATTCGTTACACGCGGCGGTTGAGGAGGTGGGGGCTGCAAAGGTGGTCCTTGCGATGACGTTGGTTGGGGCAGTCCAGCGCCAGGAAAGGGACCCATGGCATTATGGTGGTCTCGAGGTGAGCGTGGCGGCGGCGGCGGTGGTGGTGGAAGCCCACGCGTACTTGGGCCGGGGTAAGCACGCATTTGATCGGGTCCCGATCGCGGACTAGCTGGGCCGCGAGGTGGTGGCGGCGGCGGCGGATTAGGACCAGACGGACCACGACCTCGCTCACGTTGATCAAAAGGGTTAGCAGGGTGGTGTATCGGGTTTATTTCGGCCAGTTGGTTACCCCAGCCGTTAGCAGGTGGTCCGCCAGAGGGTCCAGACGGTGGCTGGGGAGCCGAATTGCCCCATTGCGGACCTGGCGGGCCGACAGCACCTGTAGCTTGGTAGGCCTGCGGATGAACATCCTGGGGCAAGGGAGCACTCGTCTGCACGGGAACACCACTAGCTTGCTGGCCACGTAAGAGCTGTAAGCGTGCCTTGATATGAACGTTGTTAGGATCGAGTTCTGCGGCCCGCTGATATGCGTCGAGAGCATCGTTTATTTGATTGTTGCACGACTCGTACTATCACAAATCAGTTGGCTTTCAAAGGTCTCACGGATCGGGTGGCTTCGCAGGAGAGTATACTTACCAGTGTGCCGAGATCGTACCAGACCTCTGATATGTACGGATTCAGGCGTATAGCCCGGGAATATGCATCGAGCGCATCCCGGTACTGGTTAATCTGGTAGTACAAAACACCAATCGAGCACCAGAATGTTGGGTTCCTTCCGTCTCGGTAAACTGCTTGTTGATAGGCCTCGTATGCTTTGGGGTATTTCTGTTGTGACATGTAACACCGACCAAGGAGATACCAGCTTTGCGCATCGCTCTGATCTACCACGTGTTAGAGTTGTCTCATTCAAGTTCTCAGGTAAAATGTGCAATGTGCACGGCTAGGAGGGCCTACCAGAGTTGACTGATTTCTCGAGATACTCGATAGCCTGCTCCTGGCTATTGAAGCTATTGCTTTGCTGGTGATGCAGCCATCCTAACTGCTGAAGGACCTTAGCATGGTTAGGATCACGATCAAGCACTCGGCGGTATGCCATTTTAGCATTGTCGTACTGTTCATTCAATCAGCATTGCAAGACGCCGGGATGTGCGGGAAATAATTTGCCTACGTCTTTCTGTTGTTCATGGACGTGGCCTATTTGAAACCATATATCTTCTTCTGTCAAGGGCGTTGGTGGTATGGAAACAATATATCGGAAACACTATGAAAGATTAGTTGGCGAATGTGGTGAGAGCGTAGGATTTGGCAAGTTGAACATACCTCGAGGCTTTGCTGGTACTTTTGCTGCTGCTTGTAAATAATGCCGAGACGAAAGTAGATCTCATTGGCCTTTTCAAAGTCGGGCTGCATTCGCATAACTTGCGAAAAGGCCTCCTCCGCGTGTTCCAGAGACCCATAGCGATCGTAGAGTATTCCGATGCCGTACCAGAGCTTGGGTTCCTAAATAAAATTTAGCCAGATCTCACGTATGAGGATAGAATGTTCGCTGATTAGTTCTTTACCTTGGGGTCGCGGAGATGATAGAGAGCTTGTTGGTAGGCTGAATACGCCTGTTGCAAATCGTCCATCATCAAATAGCAATGCCCTGGTCCCATCAGCTACAAGATATCTTTAGCCCACACCAGATCTGACTCACCGAGACTTCCCCAGACGTCTCCGTTGTTGGCATCAAGCTTGAGAATATTTTGAAGGTACTCAACGGCCTTGTAGAACTGTTCTTGTGTGCGTAGGATACTGCTGATCGCGCTCATGGCCGGAATGGAGCGAGGATTTGCACGGAGAGCATGTTCGTAGGCGCCCATGGCTTCGTCCAGGTTATTCAGGAGTTCTGCGAGACTTCCTAGTAAACAGTTAGAGAGGTCATTATCTTTTGGGTGAGAGGCACCACACCGATTTGCAGCCAGACGGCTTCGTTCATTGCGGCTAACTGCTGAGCAACGGGAAATGGATGCTGTGGCTGCGGCATCCCAGCGGGCGGTGGACCACCGGGCGGACCATGGTGTATGGGAATTCCCGCGGTTGGAGAGGGATGATGGCTTGCCATGAACGAATCCGAGAGGGATCGCAAGATGGTAGCGGCTTAGAAATGAGGGAAGATAATCGTATTATGTAGAAGATGAGCGCAGTCTCATCAATGGAGATCAAGTGTCGATGAAGTCAGAAAAGCTTTCCTGGCTCAGGCTCGAGCCGTCGCCTGTGTAGGACGGACAGGCACGAGTTCGATGGGTTTCGACTGGGAGGTGAAGAATGGTCGGAACTGTTTGATGAGGCCGGTGGTGATTAGAAGAGTGGCAGGGAGTAGAGAATTTGAAAACAGGAGATGGCGACTGAATGGTGATGATGGAGGTGGAGGGAGGAAAGTGGAGAGTTGGGAGTTGGGAGGGGTGAATGGACGCAGATGCGGGAGGAAGATGGTTCTCAATGTGAGAAACGCCAGTGGCTGGTGAGGGAGAAAAGAGATGAAGAGTTGGTAGGGAAGAGACTCTGGATGCTCATGATGGGGAAAGGGATCTCACACATCACCAACCCTTCAGACCAACTCACCTAACCCAGAGCTACATGGCCGTGGCGTTTCCGCAAAACAACCAAAAATTGGCCGAATCGTAGCGGCCGTGTCAGGCTGGACTAGCCCTGAAGCGGCAGTCGGCAAGGACATGGGTAGCTGACTGAGCGATCCCTGGTCAGCCGGACCCAAGTCGAGCAAGCTGCGGCACGAACGGACGGACTACTGGCCCTGCCCTAACCTAGCAGGGGGAAGATAAGTTTAGTCATAGTGGTGCTGTGCTGCGTGTCATTCAGGAAGGAATAGGGTGTGCGCTGGTTATGCTGTCGGACTCATCTCTCACTCGCATTCACGGCGACATCGGGATCACGCCCTGAAGAGTGAGAGGTACAACGTGGAGAATTAAGGCACTGCTGAACTGACTGCTAAGTCGAGCATGTTCTGCGACTAGCGAGATCACATGATTTCACAGCTACAAGTTTCTCAGATGGCCTGTTGGCAACTCTTTCAGCCAATGTTGCCGCACATCTTCTAGCATTCAGAACGCCTAGGCCGCATCTTTTCTTTTGTCCAATTTTATTTCTTTGTTCTGTCTTCCTGGGTGACTATGTCTCTTTCTCTCTCTCCCCTCGCCCTCGCCCCGGCCAAAGCTCAGGTTTGCACTGACCACGACCATCTTCGAATGGGGCTGGCTGTTCTCGTGTCGGTCGGAGGGTAGGCTCGGAGGCAGCCAGCCACCTTTCATCACTTCGACCAGCACTACCAACCAGCAGTCAAATCCGCATACAAGCAAGCATCATTCCTGCAGCTACGACTATATCCCACACCCAACTATGCCTTCCCGTGCGCATCCCCTCCGATTCGGGAAAGGATTCTTGATTGATTCACCAGTGCCAAAGAAGGTTATATTTTAAGGTGGCCCCTCCGACCCAGGTGTAAGCGACTACCGTCAAACATTACCATGATCTGAAGAGAAATACTTAGGCTCTCTATCGAATAGCACTAACAGTCATGACGAGCATCACAGTATTTTACCTCATAGATGACGGATGGAAGGAACGAGGTAGTTGCCTGCAGCAGTGTTCATCTTAAACTGCGAATATCCCGGAAAAGCTGGCACTATCCAATATGAGCCACCATTAGGTGTGTTGTAGGTGTCGGAGGACAAGGTAAATGTTGGAAAGAAAGGCATGATAAATTTTCTTGTGATTTTCTGGGATAGGAATAGCACAGTAATTGCGTCAGGTTGATTCCCTCAGGCGGCCATGTGGGTCGGTTGCATTGGGACCGCTGATTGTTCAGTCGCCTCAGTGGCCCTCGCCTGAAGGCCAGCGTTAGACACAAGTAGAGAGATCGCACATCCATGCTCAGTGCACATTCCTCCTCGCTAGCAACGACGACCGGTTGACGTTGGAAACTCTCCTACGTTTCTGCGGCTCACCACTTCGCTGGGACACCTCGCTCGTCCCAATCCCTCAGATGTTCTTATCAGCTCAGGTGCACCCAGGACTGACGCGCGGAACAAGCGTCTTCTTCCCAAAAGCAAAGCACCGCAGGCCTGCCGCGGCCGACCCCCAAAACAAGACTACTGGAAAAGTGCGACCATTGTTGCCCGCCGACGGCCTGCTGCAGATCTTATGTCTGGCGCCGCGCGCACTCTTGCGGATCGTTCAGGGCTGGACGCGTGCGTGGCAGGCTCTGGCATCGGGCGCGAGGGCCAGGTGATGACAGTGTCGTGTGGGGCGTGGCGTTTGCCGAAGCGAAAACGCACCAGGAGCTTATCTAGCCTTGCGAGCCAGCTGAAGGCCTTGAATCTCAGCCGGTGCCGCATCAACAGGGGATCGCGCAAGACCTGGGCTCTGAGGGCGCGCACGGCTCGACCACAGCCAAGTTGATCGGGGAGAGGGTGAGCCGCCACCGAGAGAGGCAGTTGCACAACTCATCACCAGGATCATGGTTGATGGAATTGATTGCTGGAGGCCGAAAAGAACTGCCTCCGCCGTGCCAAGCCTTAGCGTCCTGTCGATGAGTAAGCCAGTGCCGACCTACTACGGGAGCCGAGCCCGAAAAGAAACATGCCATGTTCGGCATCCATCCTTAAGTTGCCTTGACCGAGTGGGGGCAGCCGGCAGCGACGCCCTTCTCACACATGATTCCCTGACCGGCACAGTTTGTGCCTTTGCCGGCTCAGGTCAAGCCGCCAATATCCGAAGGACTCCTAGGGCTATCCAAGCCGATGTCGCCGCACGATGTGTCCATCTCAAGTATCGCAGTCACGAAGTCTCAAAGTGCCGTATCCCCCCTGAGCCGGCACGGGCGGAAGGGGGAGGCCGGTTTCATGGGCCCCCTACAGACTAGCGTCATACCTCCAGACCAGATCACGTGAGAAGAAGGGTATATCCAGTGTCCGCCGTCTCGGCTAATTGCGTGTGACTGCCGCCACCAAAAGCAGGCATTCAAGGGTCAACGAGGGCCCGCGCACCTTCTCGACGGGACCCCTCCGAAACGGGTTGCGACTTGCGTACAGACTGCACGAGCCATACTGCATGCAGCAGCTGCTGCAGCAGGAATAATTACAATTTTCGTCATCATCGCCACAATAGCAACCATTACAACAGCTGGCCGATATACCGGCCGACTCGCTTCACACCAGATGCACCACATTACAGCCAATTTTATCTAAAGAATGAGCAAGGCGAGCCGGCCTGTCGGTTGCCGGTGTTCGCCCGGACAGGAATAACTGTCTCAGATTGCCGGTCCGTAGTCGCCCACACTAACTGTGGGGGGTTTCTTGATCGTTCGTCGCCTCGGTACAGTCAGGGTACGAGAAAGGTTTTAGGTAGACTGCGAGTAGTGCTTGATGTTTTCTATATCGCGCCTACACATAGCAAATGATATGGAAGCCAAACCGTAGCTGTCCCATGCGTCCAGGTGAGCTGGCAGTGCTTCGAACGATGTCGCTATGTCGCTTCAGTCTTTCACCAGATTACTCCAGCTCATGCAAAACTATGCCGTCTTCCCCATCTGCCCATGTCATAATTTAAAGCGGTTCCTGGCCACAAATTCCGATCCAGCTGTCGACAGGCTGTGCGGGGAGGTGAGGCAGAAGAATCTGGTCAAAGTAGATGGCATCCTTTTCTTGATGTACAGCGCGAGGCGAGAGAGCTCAAGACCGAACAACATATCTCTCCACTATTTGTTGGATTATCTCTATTTCAGTCTTGCTAGCGTATATCCACACTACGTCACATACTTTAAGTCAACATGTCAACCTATATCTATGGACCGGGTTCTAAAAATTCCTTCAGCTCTTCCTAATTCCGTAGCTTTAAGAAAGCATGCGAGGCGTGATGGGGCGAGCTAGCGGTCAGAGATGACCGTTGGAGATCTATTGTGTTTCTTAGCCCAGAAGTCATGGCGTGTCCATGATACAGGATGAGGACAGTTATATTGCACACTCAGCTTCTGTCTGGCAAGAACTAAGGTAGGGGAACGAAACTTAACACCTTTAAGCGATGTCCCCTACGGACCTCCAGCTCTCGCTGTAGAGTTTGCAGAACCGAGTATGAATCTTACCTTTTCAACTTTGGGCTAAATTATCTCCCCCCTCGAATATGCGCCTCCGACAACTTCAACGACGATTGCGACGATGATAATAATGCTGGAAAATAGAAGAAATATTGCGGTACTAAATGCAACAACGGTAGTCAGAGAAGTCCTCGTCACATCACGATATAATCCACCCGCCGACAAGGAAAATAAGCCCACGAAAGCAAAGTAAAAGACCCTTCCGTCTTCAAGGGAAATAAATTTTGACTCATCTACCTGATCGTCTCTTCTAATTTTATTCCCGGATCTACTGGCCGAGAGAGCATCCATAGTATACGAACTACTCGACAACCCGACGTCCGAAAAGACTTTTGGGCGCTAGGCCACGCACCCTCACGGTAGTTACTCGGGACCAAGGCTTTTCTGATATCCATTCACGGCCCTTGGTCTGTCCTGCAGTATGAATCAGGGGAGTAAGGGGATGCCAGGAAGAATGAGAGACACTCTTAGGTACACACAAGTCTATTTTGGCCGGCTGGGCGGCCCCTTGGAAAGCTTCGCATGCCCAAATGTTTCTCTAGATCAAATCCTAATGTTGGTAGTAGTAGGGCTCCTCACCTACTAGTTTTTAAGACTTTTCCCCGCAGCTACACACCAGAAAATAGCCAGCGTTTTTTGGACTAGAAAGGGGATATGATCATGGCATAATGGCTTTTCTGAGTATGTAGTCAATGAAGGTCTATGTGAGTATTGTTACTAGAAAGGAGCCATGAGAAAGGTGGAGATACTCCTAGCGAATGAGTGGAAAGTACCCACACGTCCTCACACATACATACTCTACAGGACACTGGAATAGTAAAGATAAATACAATAACAGAGATAGACTTAAGTAGGAGAGGAATTGAATGCAGAATTAAAAAATTAGACGGTTAAGTTGTGAGTACGTGCTCACGAAGCTCGACTTATCCACATCACTCTGGATCATATCCGCG